GATAAGCCAAAAAAGGAAAGAAAAACAACTTTTTAATAACCACCACCAGGAGAAGTCCTAATTAAAATTAGTAGCTATACATATATGTAAGTGTATTTACTTTTAATAAAACAGGAATATATCATTGTGTGAACTTTTGCACTCAATGGCATATGATAAAACATCAGCCTGTATCAACAGAGCACTTCTCAGACGTTTTTGTTTTCAGGACCCCTTTATACTCTTAGGTGTCAACTTTTTATGTAATTTATAGCTATTGTACTAGATATTAAAACTTAAGAGTTCTTAAAGTATTAATTCATTTAAAAACATATTTAAAAACATTTATATGTTAACATAAATAATTGGAATTTTGTTTCTTGTTGTTTTGTAGTTTATTTATTTCGGGATAGAGAGCACGAGTGAGCCGGGGAAGGGGCAGAGAGAGAGGAAGAGAGAATCCCAAGCAGGCTCCAGGCTGTCAGCCCGGTTCAGGGCTCAATCTCACGAACTCTGAGATCATGACCTGAGCCAAAATCAAGTGTCTTCGGACTCTTAACTGACTGAGCCACCCAGGCGCCCTGGTATTTTGTTTTGAGGAAAAAAGAAAAAAAAAAAAACCCAAACTTTATTTTCTAAAACAAAAGAATTAGTGGGAAAAGTAGCACTGTTTTACATTCTGCAAATCTTTTAAATATCTACATTCAATTTGTTGTGTTATAATGTCTTAGTTTGTGCATACTGTTTCCTCTGACTGGATGCGCTCCTTGGTATTTACTCATTCTTCAATCCAACTCAAACATCACTGTATCTAAAGGCCACCCCACCACTCCTTATATACATATATAAAGTTGACTGTATCTTCCTTGTGCCTCACCATGGCCTTTAATACTTGCTTGCTGTATTACTATCTGTGTGTCAGGTCCTTGAAGACAGTGACAGAATCTTACTCAGTGTTTAATCTTTATTTACTCCTCTTTTCGTATGTGCTCAGTAAATGTTTGCTGAATGAATGAACTATTACTTTTTTTTTTCCAATATATGAAATTTATTGTCAAATTGGTTAACTATTACTTTTTTAATATGCATTGTCAGTTCATTGATTATCCAAATACTTGTTTTAATTATGCCAGATCCATCAGATTGTATGGCTTTTAAAACTTCAGGGATAACTTCAGGAATACTAGTATCTTGAATTTTCATTTTGGTAGCCTTTACTATTGCATATTCAAACATTATGTTATATATGTAGTATGTAAAATATATAGCTTTATTCTTTTTAGGGAATATGCTTTTTGGGTTGTATATGAATATATTTTTGAACTACACACACTTAAATTTGTTTGACTAAGGGGACTTTCACAATGATGTAAGGATTATGGGAGATGCACATTGACAAGTGGGATAGATCATAGCCCCTCAGCAGATTTGAATAGACTAAGAAATAGGTTTACTATCAAAGTAGGTTTACTAATGTCTTAAATAAATGATTGACAGCAACAGTTGATGAGGAAAGAAATATGATTAACTGCACATGCCAAGGCAAATATAAATATACCGAGTTGTAAATCTATATGGGAACTGTTAAGTCCTGTGTAGTGTAATTTTCATGAGTTGAGCAGCATTTCTTACTTCCTAATTATTTTCTTTTTATTGTTGTTGCTTGTTAATATAAGAGTTTTATGGTGTATTCCTCTTAGTCTCCAGCAGCTTTTATTCCAGAAAAGTAATGTATTATCTATAATTATCCTGTCATGACAGGGTTCTCAAGCTTTATGTACATAAGAATATTCTAAGGTGTTTGTGTTATGGATTCCTCATCTCTGCTTCCAGGTAATCCACATACAGGTTTTGTATTCTAAGGTTAAAAAATCAGGTAGAGCTTTACAATTCAAAGAAATTTTGCAGAACTTCTCATCTCTTTTGGGAGTTGGCTTATAATGAGGAAACTCAGGACCAAAACAGGTTAGTCATGCTTCTAGAATTACAAACCTAGTTAGTTTATGGACCAATAGAGCCAGTAATTAGAATCCAGGTTTTCCAATCTACCTTGCTCCATCAATCAGTAGGCCTTTCTTGACTGAAGATGTAAAATTTGTCCATGGAGCAGCTTTTCTTTTATTCTTTTTAGAATGAGTGAAGTCATATATAAGATCTTCTGTATAAACCTGAAGTTGCAAAGTATTTTTTATCTTTCTAATTCTCTTCTCAGTGCCCAGTTGTATTTTCAAAGGACTCTTGAAAGTCTTTTTTCTGCTTAAGAATGGTTTGGCTTTGATGATAGCCTTGATTTGAGTGGGTCAACAAGAACTTAACGTTGTTTGAAGGAAATGAAGAGGTTAATGGAGGATGCCTACTTGGAAAGCAGGGCTCAGTTTATTGGTAGATCTACTGTGTTCCTCTTTGCCCCTCATCAGTGAGTTGAATCATCTTCGTACTCATTATCACATCAAATATTAGGGAATTTTCAACATTCTTTCTGTCATAGTGTGTTAGAATTATACTGTGAGGGGCGCCTGGGTGGCTCAGTCGGTTAAATGTCCAACTCTTGATTTTGGTTCAGGTCATGGTCTCACAGGTTTGTGAGAACGAGCCCCATGTCCAGCTCTGCACTGACAGCACGGAGCCTGCTTGAGATTCTCTCTCTCCCTCTCTCTCCACACCTCCCCTGCTCACACTCTCTCTCAAAATAAATAAACTTTATAAAAAAAACAGAATTGTACTGTGAGACTGTCGGAGGTCAGTCCTATTATCATTGCTAGCATCATAATTATATATGTATATTGCCAAATGATACTCGAAATTATTTTTTCTTTTACATAGATTTTTACATTCTTTGTATTTCACATCTTGATAAAAGCGAAGAGATTAAACTATATGGCAGACTGAGCACATGGTTTCACCTCATCTTTTATGCCAAACCTTAGTAGAATGAAAAAAGTAGGGAAAACAGATTAAGAAGAGAACTGAATTAGTGCTTGGGTGGCTCAGGCAGTTGAGTATCTGACTCCATGGTTTTGACTCGGGTCATGATTGCATGGTATGTGTGATCAAGCCCCATGTCAGGCTCTGCACTGACAGCACAGAGCCTG